TTGATATCACTTTTATAAAATTTTTAAAGTGTTCATTTTATTTTCCTATTGGTGGAGCTTGGGATACAACAGGAGCCTTGCCTATTAAATCTATCAGTGATATCAAATTGAAAGCAAATGTATTATTCTAATGGTGGAATATATTTTCTGCAATTAAGCAAAGGAAGAAGTAGCTGGCCCTAGTTTCTTTATCAATTGTGCGTTTTTTTCAAACGCGAAAGGCGGAGGGAGAGCATTTGTTGTGGGCTGGTTGGGTCTCCTGGTGCAATACTGCCATCGCGCGGATAAAGTTTCGTAAAGTCGAATGTCATCAGCTGCTCCTCCATGAAGCCCTAGCCAATGAGTAAAGCAAGATTTGCACATAGACCCATGCCAAGCTGGCTTCGTGTTGTTTTGCTCTAAGATCACTTCCTGGAATACAAATGTAGAGTGTTGGGGCCCAACTGGGACACTGAGGGGCAGAACTGAACGTGCCACTGGCACCCGGACCTGCCCTGTCTTCCTGTTCTCACTCGGCTGCATGGTGGAACCTAAAGCCCATTGCAGCGGGGCATCATGTAAAGGCTCAGGAATAATCGCTGTCAGTGGTACGCGGAGGAGTCCATGCTCCCTACAGCCCACCGCTGTGTGAGGGGGTCTCTGGTCCAGTCCTGCCCAGAGGAACCGAGGCCACGCCCCACGACTTCCTGTCATGGCGGCTGCTGTCAGCTGCAAGTGCACTCCAGGTCCTTTATTTCCACCCCAGGGTAGCGCTGCCAGGTAACTACCGTCCTCTTGGGGCTTTAGCAGGAGGTAGGGAGCCCAGCGTGGAGCCAAAGCCAAATTCTAGTTCACTAGAAGTAGGCATTCGCTAACCTCTGGGTCATATGGAAGAGGAACCGTAGTGGTGGGGAAGATGAAGTGATTTCCGCACGATGGCAGTAGTGTGCCGTGCGAGCGTGAGAGTGCTCCCCTCCCTCCTTGCGCGTCTCAAAAAAATGACTCCCAAAGGTAGAAAAACTAACTTCTTTCTCTGAGGAACTAGAATTGTGTGGAAGTAGACAGAGGTACAGCTGGCACAGCACTGAGAATGTAGTGAAGGCCACTGAATGGCACACAGTAAATGGGGAAATGTTACGTCACGGGAATGTTGTCTCAATTTCAAAAAGTGGCAGTGCTTTGGAAGAGATGCGAGTACTCAAAAGCATTAATTATATTTCAAAAATGATCAAATTGCAGATGAAGAAAACTTGCTTTAGGAGTTTTGTTTTGGAATACCAGGCGTGGTGGCAATGCCTGCCATTAAGGCAATCTCTGTGGCTGAGGCAGAATCATCTTAAATCTGGCCTGGGTGAGAAATTTAGTGAATTAGCTAAGCCTGGTCAGATAATGAAAACAAGAAAATGGGAGGTACCTGAGCAAGATGGCCTTGGGTTCAGTCCCTAGTACTGCAAGGACAGGAAGAAAAATGGCATTGAGAACATTGCTTTATAAAACTACATGCTGTATAAGCGCAGAAAGACTTAATTATACCTAGCACCTGTATGCTTTTCCTTTACTGGGGATTGAAACCAAATTATTTCACACTGAGTCACATCATGAGTCATTGTTGTTTTTTACACTCCTTGCTAAAGGGTTAATTTGTCCAGAATGGGCTCAAAGTTTCCAACCTCCTGCCTTTGCCTTCTCGTGTTGTCATTTCGTAGGTTTTTCCCCACTCCCTTCTCCTCACACATGCTTCAATGTGCCTGTCTTTTTCTCTCTGTGGTGGGCCTGACATATCGTTTCTGCTTCATAAATTCTGAAATGTCCAGAGTGAAATGTAAAAGTGGAAGCACTCCAAACTCTGCCAGTGGTGGTGTAAGAGGCTGCTGCTAAGGACTGTGAAAAGTGACGGACACCTACAAGGGTATCTGAAGAGAAATGAGCATGTGGTAGCTGTACGTGCATCCAGTTGTGAAGAGTTTCAAAATATGTGTGTTTGCAATCATGGTTAGTGGTTAGGGTAAGCATATAATGGGTTATGATGTTTAAGAGAATCTATTTTCATGAATGTAAACAGAAATGCATGAATAACCTTAGCTGTATGTGAAAGGTGTGACTCCTCCATGTCCAAGTGTCATGAGGGTTCTGTCAGGATGCCTGATTTTGAGGGAAGTACAAGATCAACCGTTCTCTTCATATAGAATTGAGAGGTGCCAGTGTTCAAGGTCCTCTCTAATTTCTGCTTTCATCCTTTGAAGCCTTTAAAGGTAAACTTCTAGGAACCCTTGAGATGCTCAGGCAGGATAACCCCAAGTTGGTCTAAAAATCAAATTTGAGATAAAATGTTTTTTCTTCCTTGGGAGGCAGTGAAACCAAGGCCTTTGTAGTGATGAACAGCACATTCCTTTTTATTTTGGGACTGAAGCTCTTAGTTTGCATAATTTGGAATCTGACATCCTCAGCCTCCCAGAAAGCTGAGATTTCAGACATTTAGCTGTAGGATAGAAATCGGAGAATAAAACACTAACAAGTCTAAAGGCTGTACCTGTATAGTTTTATAAAATATCTATATGCCATATTTATATAAGTATATAGACATAAATAGATTTTTATTGATTAGATTATTGAATGAGAAGGTAATATTTTGAAGAGAACACACAAATCAAAACCATTGCTGATGTTAATTTTTAAAATCCCGATTTTTCACATATATATGATAATGTTAAAGACAACCTGGAAATGAGAAATGAAAATGTCCCATCTAAAATGCAATGATGCCCTGGGATTTTCTTTAGTGGTTCCACCTTGTGCCTTGCATGGACATGGACCTGAATTCAATCAATGGTACCAAAACAAAACAAAAGAAAAAAAGCCATGAAATGAGTATCTGAAAATAATTTGAATGCAAATATATTGTATATTTTCAATGTCTAATTAAAACATTGTCCGTATTGAAAGAATGCAAGGCATAGAAAAGATTATCACTGTATAATACAAATTTCATGATGGTGTGAGACTCTTGATAAGTATATGGCTCTTTACTAAATACAATTTAAATGAAAATGTATTGCAGATTTTGTCTCCTTATATCACTGTCTCTACGTATTGGAATAATGGGGGTACACGTGTGAAAGATTATCACTGTACAATATAAATTTTTATGACTGGTGGATGCCTCTTCATAAAGAAATAGCTATTTTCAAGACTTGTCATGTAGAGGTACAAGATCCCAACAATGAATGTAACTGTACTGTTTCCCTAAAATGTACCAATAAACTCAATTAAAGCTGCAAAAAGAAAAAAGAAATAGCTATTTGCTGAATTCTGTTCAATCTCTGTGACTATTCTATGAAAGAGAATTCGTAAGAGCTTTCCTGAAGTCAAAAGAAAAACTCACTTACGCAGCACATTCATAGATACCAGGGAGAGGCCACTTACTGTGGAAAGAGGCTTGTACATTAAGGAATGATTCCATGACACCAAACTGAGCTCTCCCAATGGAGTATGTACACTTTCAATTACAGCTGTCACTCCAGGGAAGACTTTATTCAGCCTGGAGTCCACCAGCTTCACCTAAAGTCAGTCTCTGATGAACACGCAAGGCGTGGTGCCTAGGTCGGAGTGTGGAGTAGGACTTCCAGGGAACCTAGGACTTGTGTCCCCATGAGAACCGAGCTTCCCAGAGCCTGGATCTATTCTTCATGGAGCCCACAATCCTGAGTATTTTATTTTCCTTCCTAGGCATGCAACCCGGATGTTTGGTCATCAATGCCAGGAGACAATGAGATGATGTGATGATGGAGAGGAAGCACTGGAGGTGCAATGTTGGGTGAAGAAGAACAATACTGGGAGACTTGGTCCTCTGAAACGGATTTTGGAAGAGAGAAGCTGACTGATGTAGGTGGGTGGCTTTGGTATCAGTTTTGCAAAATTTTAAAAGGGTTCATTTTATTTTCATATTTGTGCAGCTTGGGTTAAAATACTGGGACTTGCCTTTTAAATCTACCACTTATATCAAATTGAAAGCAAATGTATCATTCTAACGGTGGAACATATTTTGTATAATTAAGCAAAGTAGGAGGTAACACATGCTGTTCTGTGTCTCAGTGGTCTTTTATTTTCAAACGCGTAAGCCAGAGGGAGAGCATATGGCTGTGGGCTGGTTGGGTCTCCTGAAGCAATACTGCCATCGCGTTGAGGACGTTTCATAAAGTCGTATGTCATGAGCTGCTCCTCCATGAAGCCCTAGCCAATGAGGAAAGTAGGGTTTGCACATAGACCCAAGCCAAGCTGGCTTCGCGTTCTTTTGCTCTAAGATCACTACCTGGAATACAAATGTAGAGTGTTGGGGCCCAACTGGGACACTGAGGGGCAGGACTGAACGTGCCACTGGCACCCGGACCTGCCCTGTCTTCGTGTTCTCACTCGGCTGCAAGGTGGAACCGAAAGCCCATTCCACTGGGGCATCACGTAAAGGCCCAGGAATAATCGCTGACAGTGGCAGGTGGAGGAGTCAGTGCCCTCAACAGCCCACTGCTGCGTGAGGGGGTCTCTGGTCCAGTCTTGGCCAGAGGAACCGAGGCCGCGCCCCACGACTTCCTGTCATGGCGGCTGCTGTCAGCTGGAAGTGCCCTCCAGGTCCTTTATTTCCACAACAGGGTAGCGCTGCCAGGTAACTACCGTCCTCCTGGGGCTTTAGCAGGAGGCAGGGAGCCCAGCCCGGAGCCAAAGGTTTTCTTAGTTCACTGCAAGTAGCCTCTTCAGAATACTTGGTTCTTTGGTAAAGAAGCCTTATTGGTGGTGGGTATGATGGAGCTTTATCCGCGTGATGGCTACAGTGTGCCACGTATGGGAAACTTGTGCTCTTCGTGTTTCAAAAAACTGTTCCCAGAGACAGAAAAAGCTAAGAAATATGGCAGCATAATACATTGCCAGGATTGGTGCCACAAGGTTCCTCAGTGATGAGGTTGGTTTTGCAGTTTTACAAAATTAATTTTATTGGTTAATTTTCGGTATGCAAGGGCCGGGGATTTAGCTCAGCAATTCAGTGGCCTGCCTTGCAAGTTCAAGGACCCGAGTTCAATCCCCAGTACCAAAAAAAAAAAAAAAAAAAAAAAATCGATATGCAATATAATGACATTCATCATTGCCAATTTGTACCTTATAATCTATCTTGTTTCGTTTATTTTCCCCATTTTCTGCCCTTCCTTCAACCCCTCCAGCCATCCCTATTTACAATGACTCTTTTTAACTCCATTAAGTTTATTGGTACATTTAAAGTAAACAATATATTTATTTATCATTGGGATCTTGTTCATTTACATGATGTGGCTTGGTTCTTATTTTGCCCCATACCCCTGCCCTGCCTTCACCCACTTCACCCTTCACTCTTTACAAAAGACTTTGTTTCCGTTTTTTCCTTTTTTCACTTTTTTCTTTTCCCTTATTTTCTTTCCCTCTCCTTCTGACTTCCCCTTTATCCATTTTCTTCTTATTTCCCACTATCAGTTATACCTTTTGAACCTTATTTACACTTTTAGTTTTTCACACCAGAGATACTGTTCAGTATTTACTCAAGTATGTCCTATTTATTTTACTTACTAGTATGGCCTCAATGTGCATGCATTTATCTATAAATGTCTCTAGGTTTTCATTCTTTATGGCTGAGTAGTATCGCATTTTATAGAAAAACCACATCTTTATCCTGTCTCCTCTTGATGGGCTTTTGGGTTGTTTCCAAGTTTTAGCTATTATAAACTGTGCCGCCACAAACATGGGTGCACACATATCACTGTGGTGCGATTCTTTTAATTCTTTTGGAAAGATACCCAGCAGAGGTGTAGCTAGGTCAAATGGGACCTCTAATCCTAGTTGTTTGAGGTATTTTCATATTGATTTCCACAGTGGTTGCACCAGTCTGCCTTTCCAACAATGGAGAAGGGTTCCTTTCTCCCTACAGGCCTGCCAGCATTTGTTATTGGTTGATTTCTTGATAGCAGCCATTCTTTCTTAGGTAAGGTGGAATTTCAGTGTTGTTTTCATCTGTATCTCTCGATTGACCAGTGATGTTGAACCTTTTTTCATAATTTTTTTGCTGCTTTTACTTCTTTGTTTGAGAAACATCTGTTCATTTCAGATGCCCAGTTTTTAGCTGGGTCTTTGTATTTGGGGAGGCAGATATTTTTGAGTTCTTTACATGTTCTGGATAGTAGTTCTTTGTCTGTGGAGTAGTGGTAAAATTTTTTTCCTACATTATAGGTTGTCTTTTAGCTCTATTGGTGGTTTCTATTGCACTGTAAAATCTTTTTAATACAGTAGGATCACCGTGGTTGATTCTTTGTGAAAGTTTTCATGCTATTGAGGATTTGTTCTTAATATTTACAAAAATTTTGTTTTCATTTTTTTCATTTTGTCATATTAATTCCATTCCCTTCTTTCCTTTCCCTTACCTCTTCCACTTCCCATATCCCCTTTTCTTATTATTTCACATTGTTTGTTATACATTTTAATCTTTATTTGCACTTTCCATTTCTCACACCAGTGAAATTATTTGGTATTTATTCATGTGTTTCCTATTTATCTCACTTGAGAATATGCTCTCAGTGTGCATCCACATAGCTATAAATGACTGTAGTTTATCATTCTTTATGTATATCTGAATAGTTCTAGTTCTAATTTTTTTAAAAGCCCATACTTTCTTTATCCAGTGTCCATTTGATGGGCAATTGGGCTACTTCCTAGTTTTGGGTATTAGAAACTGTGCTGATATGAACATGGGTGCACATTCATCACTATGATATGATTCTTTTAATTGTTTTGGGAAGATACCCAGCAGGGGGAATAGTTGAGTCAAATTGGACCTATACTCCTCTTACTTGAGGTGCCTCCATACTGATTTCCACAGTGGTCACACCAGTCTACACTCCCACTGGCAGCGGAGAAGGGTTCCTTTTTCCATACATCCCAGCTAGCATTTGTTATTGCTTGATTTCTTTCTTAAAAAATTGAGTTTATTGGTACATTCTAGGTATACAGTACAGTTCCATTCATCATTGGGATCTTGACCTTTACATGACAGGTCTTGGTTCTCATATTTTCCCCTTGTCCCTGCCCTCCCTTCACTCCCTCCTCCCCTCCCCACCTACAAGCACTTTAATTCCATTTTTACATTTTCTCATATTTTTTCCTTTCCCTTATTCCTCTTCCCCTACCCTTCCCACTGTGCCTACACCTTTAGCCCTTTTCTTCCTATATCACATTGCTAATAATCCCATTAGGATCTTGAGTACTATTTTAGTTTTTCACACCAGAGAAACTATTCTGTATTTACACATGTGTGACTTATTTCTTTCACGTGGCAGTATATCCTCGAAATGTATCCATTTTCCTATGAATGAATCTACTTTCTCATTCTTTATGGCTGAGTAGTATTCCATTTTATAGAAAAACATCTTCTTTATCCAGTCTCCAACTGATGGGCAAATGGGCTGTTTCCAAGTTTTAGCTATTACAAACTGTGCTGCTATAAACATAGGTGCGCCTGTGTCACTGTGATATGATTCTTTTAATTGTTTTGGAAAGATACC